GTACAACTGGTAAGGTACCTCACATAGGGTTCCACCAGGAAGTAGGTACCCACGCGTATTTCTGCCTTCCTTCTTTCCCTTAGTCCAATCAAGCTGCTGTAACAAAATATCACAAACTAGCTGCCTTACTACTTCAGCACTCAGATTCTGAGGGCCATGCAAGCATTCAGACCCTAGCACTGTCACTCCCTGCCTCTTCCTCTTGTTCTTTCTCTCTCATTCTTCCATCTTTCCAGAAAGGAGAGTCCCAAGCTCATTAATACTCATGCAATTCCATCTCTTTTCCTTCACTCAGATTCTTAGCATTGTTCTGCCCAGGACTCCCTTTCATCTTAATTTCAGAAGTGGACTTGAATGCTATGTGCTAAGTCAACTCCAAAAGAAAGTATCACACCCCTCCCTGTGCCCACAACAGCAGACCCTCGGCCTGGGACACACTGGCGGTTCCGGATAAGATGCAGACATTGTGGTTGGATGGGGAAGGAAGTGCATGGGTGAGTGCCGCGCAGACGGCGGGTATGTGGAGCAGGAGCAGGTGAGATGCAAGGCCTGCAGGGTGGGACTGGCGGAGGGACTGAAGAGTGGGATTGGTGTGGAGGTGAGGGATTGAATGTGAATGGATGATGGGTGGGTAAACAGAGCAAGTGGGAGTAGAGATGGAAGAACTGGAGGTGAATGGGAAACAGCCCCACAGGCTTCAGAAAGCCTGGAAGATGGATTAATAGATGACCAAGCCACGGGCCATAATCAGCTTTTTGCTGAAGTGGTGAGGAGGCAATGAACAGCATCTTCATTCTCCACCTCTAAAGATAAGCGGTGAGGCAAGCAGTGTGGACAGCGGCAGGACCCCAGTGTTTCCTCCTCCCCAGCTTCCAGCTTGGCCCCAGCCACCCTCTGCCCCAACCTGGTGTGCCCTGCCACCTGCTGCTGTGAGCATAGCTGAGCACACCTGCCCCTAGCAGCCAGCTCCCTTGGGTCACCCCCGGAAGACGTTCACCCACAGACATGTGCCTTTTTAACCTAGTCAACCGGCACCAAAGGCTGCAAACCCACAAAGTCCCTGCCCAGCCCACCACCTCACCTAGCAAGCTTGCCCATGGGCTGCACTGCCCACACCAGTGATGGCATTCCTGAACTGGGGTGAGTAAAATAGACAGTGTGTCTTCGACACAGCTGACGTGGAGAAAGACCACCGACCTGGCTGTTCCCCAGCTGTGTGGCCTAATCAAGTCCCATGCCTCTCAGTATCCCGTTTCTTCAGCTTTGAACTCGGGATAAAAGCTAAGCTGCTCAGCTCTCTCTGGCTCTGTCTCTTTTTATCTCTGTCATTGGTTGTAAGGATCACATTGGGAAGTGGGTTCTAATCTGGTCCTTTCCAGGACTTGCACGTCCACCCTGCCCCACCTCGGGAGCCTGGACAGTGCATCTCCAAAGCCCTGCTGCCCACATTCATCAAGCGAGGGCAGAGCTGCGCCTGGGGGGAAAGGGCCCTGGTGTGCCCACTCACAGGCTGTGCATAACCAGCCTGACCTCAATCTTTCTCTATGAATTATGGAAAGCAAGTTCTGGGAACATCAGGCATGCACCGACTCCAGCAGGCTGACTCTCCTCCCGTCCTTTCATCCTTCCCAACTTAATAAGGACCAGGGCTTATTAGCTGTTCCTGTCCAACTCGCCCCAGCCTGTGTCTGCACACGTGAAGCTAAAAATACCCGCAGTTCCTATTAGAGCCTCTGCCCTCCAGGGGTAGGTGAGGCTGCCTGCAGGCGGCATGGACACCAAGTCCCTTGTGTCCCCAAGCCCATCCTGCTGCTCAGGGATGAGCACCAATATGCGTCCACGCATTCCCAGGATGGCATATCATCCAAAGGCTGTCCCTCGTTCGTCCATCCAGGGCTTGGTCAGGCACGCCAGAGCCCCTTTCTGTGTCCCCCTAACCACTTTCGGAGGTGGCCTCGCTCCACCCCGGAGGGCCCTTCTGGGGGTTGCTCCTGGGGCAGAGCAACATGCCTCGGCCCGCTCCTCACCTGCCTCCTGAGAAAGCCTTTTGTGCACCTTTTCATGCAAACATGCAGCATAGCAAGTGATCTGGGTTCTGATATCTCGCCCCCTTGTTTGTCTATCAATAAAATGGGCACGAGTCCTTAGCCCAGCTGGGTTACCATGAGTTCATGAAGTAGAAAAGAGAGAGAGAGAGCACAAGCAGTGACTGAAGCACAGCGGGTCCTGAAGAGGGGGCCAAGTGTGGGACACCTTGTTTACATCGCAAGGCTGGTGGATCAGGACCTACTCTGGAGATGTTTTGGTGGTCTGGCAAAGTTGTGGTCCTCCTGTGCCACTGGACATCTCTCTTGGCATTGCCCAAGGTATTCTGGAAGTGCTACTGAGAAATGGATGGGTTTACCCCCAGAAGAAGGCCACCCATGCTAGCAGATGTAAAGTCCCTAGCATTGGGAGGGGCGTGCTTCCCTCATTTGCACATCATCGTGTGCACAGGAATGTGGTTTTAATGAGCCATGGACAGAACAATACGGAAAGTCAATTAAGGTCTCATGAACGGAAATACAGAGCCAGGCAATGGCTGATGGGCCAATCAGGGAGACACGTAGTGGAAAAGAGGAGAAGTGGAAATCGCTTACTGCAGAGGCAGTCACAGCGGATGGCCCTTGGTTGAACGGAGGCAGGAGTGTGGGCTGCTCCACGTGGCTCTCTCAGCAGCATTCATTCCCAGGTCTGTGTGAGACAGGCGCAGCAGAGAAGGGGGTATGTACTGGGGAACATCCGGTCTATCCCTGGGCTGGAATATCTGCTTGTTAAGAGCATTCATTCTGTCCTATTGATCGATTCAATAGTTGTTGAGCACCTCCAGTGTGCAACACACATGGATACACTGTAGAGGGAGGAAGAACTTGAGCAGAAGGGACACAGCCTCCAGCTGAGTCTCTCTGGAGCCTCGATCTTCCCCCGCCCACGTCTGCTTTCCTGTCCCACCCAAAGAGCTTCAGCACCATCATCTTGGATGCCCGTTTCACACGCTGACCTCCACATGACGGTTCTGTCTCCCAGGGAGCCACCTGGGTGGTGGGAAAGGATGCTGTTATCATCTAGGAGGTACATCCCAGAATTGGTGTCAAACATCCAGCCAGACACAGAAGAGGCCACGATGACAAAGAATTATCTGGTCCAAGGCATCAGGTGTGCCAAGGATATCTGTTTCCAGCACAGAGAGCAGCAGGGGCCTGCCATGTCATGTTCCTAAACCTTGACTAGCATACTCCCTGGCCATCGGTCCCTGCACGTGGCAAGAGACTGGGCAACTCTGGCCCAGCTATGAGGCAGCAACATGACTGCAGGGCTGCCTTAGCCATCTCCAAGTCCCAGAAGCATCAAGGAATCCATCCTTCTGACTTCCCTAGCCACACAGAGAGCAAGCAAGCCCTAGCCACCCAAGTGGCCATGACCAAGTGTGTCATGGGGGTGCCCACATCCATGCAAGCAGAACTCAGTTCCCCAGGAGGTGACCTGCCCAGGAGGTGACCTGCCCAGGGAGTCACCCACCTCTACTCAGGTCTCATCTGTGGGGATTCCAGTCCAATATCATCAGGAGCTAGTGACAGGCACCCAGTGGGCAAGGGGAAGCTGGTAGCATGGTCCAAGTGTGAGCCACCGGGCATGGGAAAAGACCTTCAGAATGTGAGGGTGTGGCTCCACCTGCACCATCAGCAACTCTACTGGTCCCTCTCCTCTCCCTTAAAATGAGGTCAGAATGACAACTACCACCTGGAGACCACTCCATGTGTGCCAGGCTCCTTACACGTGTGCCATTCTCTCAACAGGCCTGTGGGAATTTTTATAACCCCAATGATAGGAGTGAGAAGACGGAGGGCAAGTGGCCGGCCCCAGTTCACTTGACCAGCGGGTGTTAGAGCTGCTACTGGAATGCGACACGGTGCTCATTGTCACAAGGTAGGAGCTTCCAGGCTAGGCTGCAGGATGCCCAGAGGGGCCCCAGAACCCCCCTCCCCGGAGGTAGCATCCCCTAACGATGGCAAGGGGAAGGGGGAGGGCTGTACCTGCAGGGTGGGCCCACGTGCCCAGATCTGCCAGGCAGATGCCCATGTAAACAGTCCTGAGACCTACAGCCAAATGTCCTGCTGCTGCTCTTGGCTGGGCCACACAGGCCCGTCTAAAAATAGTCAGGTCCTCAGGTCCGGCCCCCTGACAGCGGGCAGGCAGCTCCCGGTGCCCAGCCTGTGCCCCAACGGCCTCCTCTCTCTTCCCCTTGTTTCCAGGGTAGACACTAGACTTTCTAAAAGAAATATGCTTTTATTTTTTTTAGACTTCCATGTCAAACCAAAGAGGTTAGGTAGGTGCGGGGGTGGGGGACACATTCCAAGTTCTGGAGGGGCCAGGATAGGGGAGCTCCCAACCCCAGCAAGAGAGAGAGCGAGAAAAAGATGTGTCTCCCCCCACCCCCCGCCCCCGGAATGACTCAGGTCAAGGCCAAAGTTAGACCAGAGTCTGCACACCTTGAGATCCAGTCTGGGGACCCCCTCCCGGCTTCACTCTCCCGGGACCGACTGTGGCAGCATCATGGATTTTTCCTTTGCCAGGGGCTCCTCCAGAGACCGAGGGAATTAGGACGACCTGCCCCGCAGCCCACATCAAGCGCCCGGGGCGGGGCGGGCGCGGACAGAGGCATCCCGGCCAACCGCGGCCTCAGCGCAGGTCAGGGCTGGGTCCCGGGGGATTTCCTTTCAAAGGTGACTTAGAACCGCTTCCTCCGGGCAGTGCCCTCCGGGGCCGGCCCTAATGGCGTGTTTGGCAGAGTCAGCGAAACGCAGCGCCCAGCGGCCCCGCGGCGGCGGGGGAGCGCCCTCTCTCTCCCGCGCCCTCGCCTGGACTCCCGCGCCCGGCCGCGGCGCGCAGGGGGCCATTTGCAGCGCAGGCAGCGTCGCGAACGGCCGCGGGGCGCGGGCCCGGAGCGAGGTGGCGGCAGCATGGAGCTCAAAAAGGACGACCAGGCGGTGGCCATCGACATGCTGCTCATCGTGAACTCGGAGAAGCGCCGCGCAGCGCAGGGCGCGCACTCCGACCGCCAGGCGGACCCGCAACCACAGCGCCGAGGAGGTAACGCACGCGGGCCGGGCTTCCTCGCCCGGCGCCCAAGGCCCTCCTCGCCCGGTGGTCCGCCCGTCGCGGGCCGCCCCCTAACAACAGGTGGGCAAGCCCGATTCTCGGCTTGCCCCACGGCTGCTGTGCCTCCACACCGCGGTCCCAGCGTTCCGTGGTGCCCTAAGTTGACCTCTGGTGCAGGTCCGTGGGTGCAGGGTTCACCCTGGGGAACCGATTTTCTCCCAATGCCCCCCCGAAGGGTGCAGATCAGGGCTGCGTGATGCCCTGGAGAAAGGGGCCCAGGGCCTGGCGCAGATCCGTGTTTGGCAGGGGCCTGCTCCCTCCGGGCATGGCATGCTGCAGGAACCAGGAAACCCCCGCGAGTCTGGCTTTGAGGTGTAAAGTGCCCTTGTGGCCCTGCACAACTTCCAGCCTCCGTCCCTATTGCTGAGCCTCCCTGACTGCCTCCTGTAGATGCAGGCGGGGAAGGTGTCAGTGGAGCTCAGGTTTGGGTTAGGGTGAGGGCTGAACGGCGCTCTCTCCACTTAAAACTTCTGTGGACTTTCTGGGCAAGTGCAGAGTGGAGTGCTGAGATCAAGTGAGTGTGAGCCGAGTGTGGACAGCAGTGCCCTGGCTTCTGTGCTCACCCGGCAGGACCCACAGGAAGCCACATGCCTATGGAGAATCGCAGAGGTTAAATGAGGCCCTGGGGACTTTGCTCCACCCTCCCTTGTTCTGTCTGATGCTTGACCTGTCTGATGCTTGACTCTGCAACTGAGACAATGGCTGCAGGTAGGGGGCTGCATGGGAGCCATCCTAGAGCAAGGGGAAGCCATGGCTCCTCCCAGCTAGCCTCCAGCTCTGCTGTCCACATAGGTCCCTTGTATGCATTCACTGCAACCCTTCCACCTGCACCGCTGAAGTAATGGGGCCAGCCATGGCCTTGACGCCACCTGCCACATGGGCTGGAGCAGCTCCAAAGGGCTCCAGACCCCTACAGAAGCAACCAGGGAAAAGAAATCAAATCCGGAGGGCTGAGAATGCTGGCAGGTGCCTCGGTCTTTGGAGGAACCTGATGGGCTACAAGATACTTATATTGGCTTTAGCTGACTGTGCTGGGAGAAGGGGCCACAGCCCGCGCAGGGCACCTGCAGGTGGGCAGGTAGAAAATCGGCCGAGGTGGCCAGCTCCTCACAGGAATGAAGACTTGCACTGCCCCCAGGCACCCCGATCCAGAAGGCTCCTCCCAGTGTGTCCTGAGGCCCCCTCCTGGCTTCCCAACCCTTTGGATCACTTCTCCCACACTGGAGAAGGCCAGGAAATGGTGGCCATTAGGACTGCCCTGAGAGATGACCCAAACTAGCAGACACCTCCACCCCAGGACTGGAGCTCAACACTCATGATCATGACTCAGGGCAAAAAAAAAAAAGACCCTTCTTGTTTGGGCTTTCTCCAGGGAGGTTTCTCCCGCATGCTGTAAGCCTGGCAAGGCCTGTGTGCTTTGTTCACAGAGCAGCAGGAAAGGGCACAGTGTCAGGGCCCTGCTGGGTGGCACTGAGGTATGGCAGACTTCTTGCCAGGCCCACTCCTGGAGATTCAGCCTGTGACATGGGAAGTCCAACCAAGACTCACCCCGGAGCCTCCCTGTCCTTGGTGCCCAAGCCCCTCTCCCGGGGGTCACTTCCTGTCCCCTCTGCACTCCAGGTTCCTCACTGCAGGGGTGCAGCTTCCTTGATCCTGAAGGGGAGGGCTCAGTTACTGGCACAGTCCTGAGATGGATGGAAGTTGCTGTCAGTGGGCTGGTTTCCCTGCAGTGGCTTTGGGGCAAGACTGTGGCCAGGCTGGATCATCTGGGCACTGGGGATACAGGGCCAGCAGGTGTGCTCTGTCCTCCCTTCTACAAGTCTAGTATTTCTCTGCTTATTTCCTTAGAGCACTGCTTCTCACAGCCGTGCATGGAAACCCTCCACCATTGGAGAGAAGCCGCCACATACTCCACTGGCTGTGGGGAGGACAGCCATGTGTCCCCAAGTGGCATGCACCAGGCCTAAAGCAACTTCACAGTCTTAGGTTTTATCTCAACAATTGCTAGGTCCCCTCTGTGCTCCACTCCAGGAGTGGCATTGAGGGCTCCCACAGGCACACCCTGGGTGCTGGCTGCATAGTAGAGGGTGAGAAGGAAGTGGGGGCCTATGAGGAGGATGGACTGCAGGCTGAGCGTGCAGAAGCAGTGCCACCCACTACACTGCAGGACTGGTCTGGGAAGGAGCCCTCCACGGCCACCAGAAGGCACAGTGTTCTGTCATGCCAGGACCCTGAAATTATTGCAGCGACTCCCATGCCAGAACATATGCCATTTCCTTGCCAGGAACTCGACCTTGCAGCTACCATTCCCAACCACTGCCAGAGAGAAAAAGAGAGAGCTTCCTTCGCTTCACCATTGCATCACAGGCCCCAGACAGCAGCAGGTGCAATTGCACCTCATTGGCCGTATCCAGACCAAACATGCGCATGCTAGCTGCAAAGGAGGCCAGGAGAGCCAGCAACGGTCATTTCTGTCCCCAAAGAGATCAGCCCAGCCCCCTCCATCTCTCTCAACAAGACTATAAAAGCAGGAGATTCACCACCTAGAGAAACAGACAGGCAAAATGGGTTGCAGAAGTCATCTGAAAGAGTGCTTTATGGGGCAGAGACACGGGAACAGAAAATGGGCAACTGGATTGAAGAAATTCACCCTGGGTGATCCTGACCACCAACCCTTTGAAAAGGACTTGAAGTGTAAGGGTTGCATCCAGGATTCCGGATGCCTCCCCTCCAGTCATCCCTTGGATCCCAGGGGCCCCGGACCCACCAGCTGAAACCACTGCACTGCTCACTCGCCCTGAATCTCCCACCGTGGAGAGCCTGACGCCCATTCCTGTCACCTCACAGGGCTGCCAGCTGTGGGCAATGGAATCCGGAAGTGGCAGAAATGTGAAGGAACAGACCCTTATGGTAAATCCTCTTTCCTTTCAACCCCTGTAATTCAAGGCTTGGGTCTCACTTGTGTGAAGATGGTCCTTGACTCTAAGCAGGGAGCACAAAGGGACTGCCTGCGACCCTTGGTAGCTTTGCTTGGCAGCAGGGGCCCTGCCACTGTGGAGGCTGGAGCTGTGGAACAATGCCACGAAACAGCATCCACTCGCTTGCTGGCTGAGCTGCAGCACCCCCTGTGGCACTCTGATTTTTCCTGGACAAAGAAGACAAAAGCCTGTCCTGGAATGGTGTATGGCTTGAGACCCTGAGAGAAGACACCCAAGAGTTCTGGTCAGGGACATAGAGTACAATCCAAGTTAGCTTCCAGAGCTGCTTTCTGTGGTCCCATGCTTCTGCTGGCCTTGCACGTCCAAGAGCTCTCTGCAGAGGCTGGAAATAGAGCCTGGTCTGTGTTCTTCCAAAACTCTGCAGTCCCACCTCCAGGGACAGACAGTGTGGGTGATGGGCATTTGAGAGTTCTAGCTGGAATCAGGTCTCCCCTCCCATAACCCCCAAGCGGGGGCCATTGAACCCCAGGCGCAGGAGCCCTGGGGGATCAGATAGCTGGCTCCTTGAACACCAGCCTGCAAGGACCATCCTCCGTGCTACTGAATACCTATAGTGGGCCGTCGTCCCTACCATCAGGATGAGGCTCTGAAAGTAAATGCACTGTCCATCCCTCAACACGAGTCTACCGAACACAGTGTGGGCAAGGCACGGGTGGAGAACTTGCAAGGGGCCATGTTCCGCTGTAGTCGCCATAGCATTCTCTGCATCAAGTATCCACAGCCTGGAGGGGTGGCATGCTCTGTATCCCTGCCCCCTGCACGGGAGAACCTGTGCTGCATGCGTGGGTGCCCTGGCTTCTTTAGCCTTGTCCCTGGAGCCCTCCAAGAGGAGACAGGCTAGCAGCAGCTCTCCTGAGGCACATGTCAAAGCTGTTAAACCCAGGAGCTAGTAAGTGTGACTGCCGGAGAGACCTGTCAGCCGCCAAGGTGGCCATGAACAAGTACTTTTGTTTTGTGGGACCCAAGAGACACAGTGTCCTTGTTTATTACAACTTTTCACCTTGCCCCACTTTTCTGACATTCATCTTCAGGCATCTCAGGCCTGTCAGGAGCAACTGGACACACAGGACTCATCTTAGGTTTTCTGTCTTCCTGATTCCTAGTTTACGCGAAGGTTAGTGGGAAAATGCAACAAAGCATAGATTAATGCAGGAATTGTCCTACTCATGAAAACTCAGGTGCTGACTGTTCAGGAACGGTACTCCAGTCATTCTCATGAAACCGTAAGAATGGAGAATCTGGAGTAAATGGCAAGCTTGAGAGAGTCCCTGAACTCAGAACAGGTGACGATTCTGTCACCTGTTTGCCACCACTTTGCAGTCTCTGAAACTGCATTGATTTTTTGGGTTTATCCTACGGTAATGTATGTGATATTAGGATTTGGGGCATGGGCACTGAGGCTGACCTGCTCTCGTACCCAGCCCCGGTAGCCAGCTGGTAGGTGAGCAGGACACACACAAACGTGGAATGGATCCACAAGGGCACATTTGCCCCTTTTGCTGCCCTGTGCACTCCTTGAGCTGGAGTGCTGGCCGGGAGGGGCCGGGAGCCTGGCACATGCCATGCTTTGTGAAGCAGCAGGTGTTTGGGCCAGCCACCAACCCTCCCTCTCCTAGGGCCCCTATCGAAGCTTGCCCAGCAACGGGCTTCCCCTGCTCTGATTGGCTGCTTTCCTTGGTCCTGGCTGAAGTCTGCCTAGCAGCACAGGACTTGACACCCCACTGCTACAGGAAAACCAGTTGTGCAGCCCTGACTATAAATACCCCGGCAGGATCCAGGCCAACCAATCACCCTCCTGAGGATTCCCTTCCCAGATCTTGTTTCCTCTGAGGGATGCAGCCAGCTGTGTCCACAGGAGGTGGCCTCCCTGTCCTCGGAGGAGTCCGGCCTGGGGCTCCAGCTCAGCATACTGGACGCAAGGTGGACCTGGGCAGCAGCTAGAGAGCAGGGGCAGCATTCAGGGGCCCAACTTGGCCTGTTTTGGGGAGAAAGCTAGTGCAGCCAGACTCCTACAGAACAGACCTGTTGGGCAGCTCACAAGTCCAGCACCAGTCAGCACTCCACCCGCTCACTCACCTTCACGCCTGGCCTGCATTCAATGGACTGAGCCCATTGACTATTCAAGGGCTGTTATCCAAGTGGAACCTGTTCAGGCCAGTGGCCTACATGGAGGCCATGGTCATAGGTCACTTTCAGGAGCAGCCCTGCAGGCCAGCAGGAGGCCAGGGTGGTAAGATGGGCTGGTTGGGGGCAAGGTGGAATGCTCCTATTGCTACAAGCCGGGCCCTTCTTCAGCTGCTCATTGAAGCAGAGTCCCAAGGGTGGCCTCAGAGAGGCCTGGCCACAACTGCAGCTCAATGAAGGTATGTGGGAACGGTCCTGCTCCCTGTGCAATGTGGCCTGAGGCGAAAAAATGGGCATGTAGATGTAGCACCTGAGACAGAGATATCCCCAGGGTGCAGACAGCCTGTCCACAGTGGGTGCTCAAAAAATGCACATGGACCTGGTCCAGGTTACCCTCATCTCAGCTCCTGGACTGGAGTAGCAGGTAGACTGGAAGCAGCAGGCTGGGCTGGGGATCAGAAGACTTGGGGTTCAAGTTAGGGTCAGAATTTCCCAGGACCTGTTCCACACAGAGGTGTGAAGGTCGATAAGTAAGGCACCAATTCACCGGTGGGAAAGGGCTTTGGACGCTGAGCCTGCTGACAGCAAAGTGGGCTTTGCAAGGTCCTTGGGGGCTTCCCCGTGCTGGCTCCCACTGAGGGGCCCGAGGGCTGTGTGCACCTGGGCCCCCGGTGTTTGCCTCTGAGTGCAGGTGTACAAGTGTGCATGCCGTGGGAGGGGGGCATGCAGCTGTGTGTGCAAGTGTTCAGGGCAGGCCGATGTAGGTGTTCTTGGCTCTGGGCAGCCCACCTTTCTCACAGCCACACACAGCTCCCTTCTGGGCTTGGGGGAAAGTCCACCTGGTCCCAGGGGTCCCGACAGGCCTGTCTGTCTTCCTTAAGTAGGAACCCTGGCTGAGAAGCAGCACGCCCAGCAGCCCCAGGTCATCACTTCCTATGACAACCAAGGTAAGAGCTTTGCCGTTCACCATGACCTCCGCTGTGGCCGTGTGCCCAGACCTGCCGCCCTGCCAGAGACAGCCTAGGACAGGCATAGCTTTCCCTAGCCCATGGGTAGCTAAGTGGCCCTTTGCCTCTGCCCACAGTCCGTGGAGGGCGGGCAATGAGAGGCTGCACAGTCTACCTCTCACGGGGCCCAAGCAGAGCGAGTCTGAGCCAGGAAGCCCCTGCTGTCACCATCATTGCCATCACGTAGCTGACATGTATTGAGTGCTAGCCATGTGTCAGGCAGCCTGCCGAGCTGCATCCACACATCCACGTACACCAAGCTCACAGCAACCCTATTGGATGGCTCTTAGCTGCACCCTGTTTGACAGATGAGTGAGGTAGGGTACATTCAAGGTCATGTGGCCAGCAGGAGTCAGAGCCAGCAATCTGAGACCCCCAACCCACTCACCTACAAGGCCTCCACTGTCACCCTTCCATTTGACTCTGTAGCCACAGCTGTCTTAGACACCCGCCCTTCCCCTCCCCTGCCCCACCTGCTGCTGGCTCACATAGCCCAGCCCTCCCCTACCAGGTCCTGAGACCCTAGGCCTTCTCCAAGCCTCCTTGGGAGCGGGAACCTGCTTCCATGTCAAGTTGGGGTGAGTGGACCCTTCCCTAGATAACAGCCCTAGTCAGGGACTAGGCACTGGTCCCTGGGACTCAGGGAGGACAGGCAAGGGCGCCACCGCCATCCAGCTCTAAGCACATTTCAGGGTGGAGACAGGAGGGCTCCACAGACCTGGCTGGAAGTGGGGCTGGGTTAGAGATTCCCATGACCTCCTCCTTGACCATGCAAAGTCCGTTGCTTTGCACCAAGCGCTCAGTGCCCTGGCAGGCTCAGCCCTCCATTCCCCACTGGGCTGCCATCAGGAGATTACTTGATTGTATCCAAGGAGCATTGGAGACCCCGCTGCCCAAAGCCAGAGCACTTGAGAGGCTCAGGGCATTCTGAGCCATGCTCTTTGAGGAGCAGGCTGGCCCAGCATGTCCTTGGGGAGTGAGGAAGAGCAGGTCCACATGCGCCGCCAGTGCAAAGGAGCCTACTTTCCTTGCAATCCAGTTTGGTTTTCTGTAGACCCAAATTCCCAGGGGACAGGGCTCTGGGGTGGATCCTGGAGCCTACAGAGTGAACTGCCCAGGGTACCTGGGGGACATGCCTGAGCTTACTTCTCCTCTGAGATGGATGGCAGCCAACCTGGTTCTGGTGCACTCTGCTCACCTAGTGGAACAAGCTCCCAAGGCCCCTGTCCAGTGACGCTGCCATCCGGAGAGGTTGGCAGCCACTGCTGCTGAGCCCAGCAGCACCATCTGGGAGGAGCTGTGGAGCTGCAGAGCAGGCAGGCTGACCAGCATGGGCTGAGCTCCCTGGCTTTATTGCTGATCTGCAGTCTCTGCTCCTGCGTGTGGCCCCATCAGCATGTCTCCTTAGTTGTGGTCAGGTCTCCCGTCATCATCTGCGTGTCAGGACCCTGTGGCTTCATGGAGGGCCAGCCAGGTCATTATGGAGTGTGTCCCCATCCCTGAATAAAGGAGGGGGAGGTGTGGTGGAGTGGCTAAGCCCCTTGGTTTGTTTGGTCCACGCTTGGACTGGCATGCACCAGCTATGTGAGCTGGTGTGAGCTCTTTAAGCCTCTCAGGGAGGACTGGGCAGGGAGCACTCTGGAGGGGCCAATTGGAGAACAGAACTCCCACCCCCCCCAAAAAAAAAACCATAATCAGAATGCTTTGATGTCTTTCCCTTTTGCTTAGCAGTGGTAGATCTCATGCAACAGAGGTGGGTTGGCCTTATGGACCTTCCAGCAACCACGCAATGGGAGGGTGTGTTGGGAATGGCAGAGTGATGAGCGGAGGCCACAAGGACTGGGTCCTGAGGGCTGCTCTCAAGGGAGTCCATTTCTTCTTGGGGCCTGTGTCCTTCCAGACAGCCAGACCTTACTACCCCCATGCTATGGCCATGCATGCATCAGGGTCCCACTGTCATGTCTGTAGGGCTGGGACCTCCCTGTTGACACATGAAATCATGAATGGCTCCAGGAGAAGCTGGAGCCCTTGGGGCTGTGGGAGACAGGTGCCCCCATGGATTCAGTCCCAAGCTCTGGGCATCAGGCCCTGGAGCTGCTGTACCTGGCGGCCGAGGGTGCCGCCCTGTGGACATTCAGCAGAGTTGACAGGCCTGCGTAACTGTCGGGGGTTCGTGTTCCTGCGTGTTGCCGTTCACTACCACAGGGCTTGCCCCCATGTCGAACACATCACCAAGGCCTAGTTAAGCGTAAAAAGCCGAGCTTTTTCTGACTGTGAGCTCTGCCGGAAAGCAATGCCAGGGTGTGTTGGTGTGTCTGCCTGAGTTAACACCATTTGTCCATGACAGCAAATACTGAACATGAATCCCACAGCCCATACATACATGCACAGCAAGGGCCTCCTATGTGTTCAATGGTGACGTTTAGTGGTCTACCTTAGCGCAGTGAAACCTACCAGTGCTTAGGCATGGAACAACACACTCTACCCCAAATGGCGCTCCACTCCCTACAGTCAGAGATCGGTCAAAGGATTCTGTTTCTGAAGAACTGAGTTTGATATGGGGGTGTCCACATCAAACTCCACATCAAACTCCACATCATGCATTAGGGAGCACAAAGCTAGACTGTGGGTACTACTCAGCCTGACCCGGTGTGTCCAGCCCAGGCCTAGGGTCTGGATCCAGAGATGCTGCCCCAAAGTGTCTTACACCCACGTGACCAGGAACAGGACAAACACTCCGTGCAGATCAGAGGAGCTAAAAGCCTGAGACATGTCATCACCTAGCCCAGCAGGGCTTGTCCAACCTCCTGTCCTCCGGTTAAGCCATCTTTGACAAAGAGCCGTGCGGAAGCAGCAGTGGCTGCCAATACCTGGATGTTACTAGAACCCTGGGGTGGAAGAGGCTTGTGGCTGAACCCTGGACCCAGAAAAACACCTCAAGTACAGGATGACGTGGAAGAAGGAGAGCAGGTCCCCGGTGCCATGCATCAGGGAAGATACTCAAGTACCCTTGCTGGTGATGGCAATGGCAGCTGAGACACAGGTTCAAGTGTGGCTTGAACTCAAGAAGGCTTAATGTCTTCATTATGAAATCACAAGGCCCGATGTTCTGACAGTAGAAGTGCTGGAAGCAACACTTCAAAATAAATGCCAGTCCTGAGGGAGGGATGGGGAAGGCCATGTCGGAACAGCCCGGCTGGCTTTGAGCACGGCCCTCTTAGCATGCAGAGCAAGCTGTGGACTACACGGGGACATCAGTGGTGTTCCAGGGAAAAGCAGTGGCAGCACATTTAACTGGTGGAACAAAGGAGTTCCTACAGTACCAATAAGAAAACAACTGAAATAGGAGAGTCCATTCAGAAGAATTTAAGATGGTCGACAAATACTACCTAAAAAAATGCAAGAAATGCACAAAATAGCAAGGCATCCTTGTTCATTGATAAAAAGCCACAGACTGGCAAGATCAAATATCAGTGAGTGGACCAGGGATCGAGTTGTGCATCGCCAACCACAGCCTAATTTAGGGGCTTGACACAGAAGCTCCCAGGTCTGTAGGTTGGCCATCAGGTCTTGGCTGGGCGGGCTCCCGTGTCAGCTGGCAGGAAGGCTCTGCTGTGATCTGTTCCATACCCTCTCTCAGCCACCCCCTGCAATATCCACAGGGCAGTGTGGCTGGGATCCCAAGAATGGGAGTAGAAGCTGCACAAGTGCTTGAAGTGTAGAGTCAGAACTTGCACAGCATCGCCTGTGTTGCGGCAAATCAGCCAGCCCAAGCCATGAGGCCAACCCAGACTCAAGGGCTGGAGCAAAAACCTTTCACTGGGAAGAAATGCAAAGTTTTGTGGCCAGTGCCGCAGTCAACCACTCAAGAACGAGCAGAACGAGCCTTCTCTTATGCTGGTGGTAAGACTGTAAACTGATTAAATTTTTCATGGGAGAAGTTGGCTGTTATCAAATGGAAGCTTTAAAAATTGTTGTGGGCTTGGACACATGTTTAAGAATGTTTTCAGAGGACTGATTTGAAAAATGTACAAAAATACATGTATCAAGGACCTTATCATTACATCATTGTTTGTAAAACATTTGGGAAAAAAAAATACCCAATAGAAAGAGATTTCTTACATGGATCCCAAGCCATCAAAAATGATGACATCTGACGTGTCAGAAGTTCACTGAAGAAACGAGTTAGAAAAGACATGTTTACTATGATCCTATTCTGGATTTTTTTAAAGGCGAAAATCAAGTATGAAAAGATTTTCACCCTTTACTTGATATCGTTCTATACCACCCAAGTATTTGTTTTAATTTCATCATATTTGGGGTATGTGTGTGTGTGATTTATATTATTTATCTTGAAGTAGCATTCAGTAAAACTGGGTTTTCCTGGTGCATGGTTCTGGGTTTTCAGCATGCAGAGGTTCCTGTAATCAAACCCTTCATGCAATCCTGGGGTGGGGCTGCTGCACCCACAGCTCGGCTGGGCAGACTCTAGTTCGCCCATGGCCCCAGAGAGTGCCTTTGGAAGTACCCCTTGGCACGGGCGTCCCACAGGTGGCTATCCACTCAGCCAGTGAGGGGCATTAAGGTTGCTCCACTTTGGAATGATCAGGAATAGAGCTCCTATATCATCTGTGTGTGGGTGTTGGAGAGGCTGTGGGGGGAATAAAGACCCAAGGGCACCATTATTAGGCTGTGTGGTCAGCACATGTGTGTTTACAAGAAATTGCCAGCTGTTTTCAATAGAGGCCGTTCTATTGTTCAGTCCTACCAATGGTGTGCGAGCTCTAGTTTCTCTACCTCCCTGTCAGTGGCCAATTTGGAACTGGGCATTGGCCTAGCTCAGAGTTTAGTTGTCTAGGACAGTGCTGTGTGCACCACGCAGAGGTGACCAAGGAGTCCACCAACTCCTGCAGCATCTCCTCCTCGCTCACTCCCTGGTCCTCCAGCCAAAGACCCGGACTTCAGCCCGCCCCCTGCCTCCTTCTCTTCCCTCACTCTCCGTCCCCCGTCCCCTCCGGCTGGCCAGGCATTTCCCATAGCTATTTCTGTTATCAGGAGCCAATCAGTGAAAACAGAGAAAATGAATGTGTGCCTCCACCCTCTTGAGATCACAGTTTTCTGGTAAGAGACGATGCCTGCCTGGCCAGCAACATCAGTGCTGTCACTGCTGCCAGCAGAAACTCCCAGGAACTGGGCCAGGAAAGAGCAGGGGAAAGGGAGGCGGGGCAGATTTGCTTCTCTCCTTCTGTTAGGAGCCGCCCGACTCTTCAAGCCAGAAGACAGGGCTCATCCTGGGGGCCTTTTTCTCTGCACCCAGAGGAATGCTTCTGAGTTCAACGTCAGGGAAGGAGGATGGACTCGTTACCACTTGGGCAGGGCTTTAACTCCTAGCCTCTCGCCCCAGTCTGTTCTGCAGAGTCCTCAAGTGGTTGTCCCGTGCATTCTGCACAGGGGGCAGAGTTGATTTCCTGGGAGAGAGGGGTAGAGCCTGCCCGCTCCATCTTGCCTGAATCTGGAAACCACCAGCTGGGTCTTTGAAACAAGAACCACTGGTATGCAGAAAAGAAAGCTTGTGCCCAGTTGTGTCCTGTAGTTCAAGCAGCAGCCACGGAACAACACACCCTCGCACAGCAGCCTCTGGCTAAGCCTCTTGCCTCCTCTTCCTCAGCAGGGACACAGCTGACCGTGGAGGTCCACCCTCGAGATGCCATGCCCCAGCTACTCAAGAAGTTATCCTTGGCTAAACTGCGTACGTACAGGCCTGTGGGAGGAGGCAAGACTGAGGGCAGCTGAAAGTCATGTCCCAGCCCAGGCACCTGCGGAGGGAAGCCAGGGAGTGACGCGGGTCTAGCAGCCAGGGAGAGGCAGTTAGCTGATGTTTTTGATGCTTTCAATGCTTTCACCTCGGGGAGACTCTTGTCCACCCACAGCTGCCCCTACCCTGCCAGCTCTGAAATTGGGGTGGGAGACCCGGGGCACTCAGTGGCAGGTGAGTTTCACCGTGACAAGATCATTGCAATTGGTTTCCCATACTGTTCACTCACTGCCTAAAGAGGGACAGGCACAGTGCTAGATACTTGACAGGCATGAACATCTTAGCCCTTTGATGTGTCCTCACCATTTAGACGAGGTCACCAAAAATGAGCTTCCCAAAGGCAAGAATAACTGCCCACGTCACCCAGCCAGACAGCGGGTGCAAATCCAGCTCTGACTCTGAGTCCAGGGTCTTGACCAGCAGTTCTCGGTGCTGCTCCCAGGCTTGGGGGCCAGGACCGTATTGTCCTCCATGCCCCGCTCTCTGAGTCTGCTCTCTGAAGCTGTCTGTCTCAGAGTCACACAAGGCAAGTGGCTTAGCCTGTTCTGTGGACTCCGTCTACTCGTAAACATTACCGAACCTGCTCACCCAGGCCAGGCACAGTGAGCACCCGCGGAGGCTGTCAACTTCTTCACCCTCCACCGTTCCAGCAACTGCTGCAGGTGACAGTAAAGCGTAGGTGCCACAAGAGAGATGGCCTGGGTGCAGCTGCAACCTTCACACCTATCAGTGGCTTCAAGGGCATAAGACCATCTGCCTTGGCATTTCTACTGCCACCTCCACCTGCCAGCTTGCAAAGGGAACTCATCCTTCCTGATCTGGTTTTAGACCCTTTCCTCTTGGTTCTCCCTCTGCCTGATTAGTTCTGAACCTACACTGCTCAGCTGCCCTTTAGCCCTCCCAGAGAGTCACTTCACAATGATTTGGTGTTTCTGGGTTTTAAGCGCCATACAGGCCACCATCCCTTCCCTGCTTTTATTTTGTACCGAGGGTCAGTCCTGGCCCGGGCGTATCTGGTAGTGCACTAACGAGTTTTCTCTGCACTCCGGCTGCGCTCACGAGGGCAGGTGCACCCCGAGGAGGGCAGGAGCACCAGGCTCCAGACAAGCCCATGGCGGGGAATGCAGAGTGCCAATGCCAGGGCCCATCCTGTCCCTGGGGCCTCTCCTTGGTCCCATTTTCCCCACCGCCCCGTCAGCAAGTTCCTGGCAGTGGCAGCATGGACTCAGTGGTGAGTGGCATCTGGAGTGAGAGGAGGGTCAGAAGGGCCAGCGAATGGGAATGTCACTGTTGGCATGGACGTTTCTCTCAAATATCTCTGCTTCTAATCTTTGGGATATCATAGGTTTACAAGGCGATAAAAATGGAAACACGAGACCCCGGCAGCCTGGAGGGAAAGACGCCCATGGTAAGGTCCAGGTTCTTCCCCAGGATGTTTTGGGGTCAGCAGATTGGTTTAACTTCTAGTTGATTAGCAGTGGCTTCCCAGGATATTGTACTATAAGTGTAGGGCCCCTTGGTCAGAGCTGATGAATGCCATGATTGATTAGCAATGTCTACACAGGTAGAGAAGGGGAACATCCAGATATTGGCTAGCAATGTCTGCCAAGGACACAGGTGGAGAAGAAAAAAAGCCCATACACCTGATGTCATCAGTTGGCTAAAGCATAAACCCCAACAAGGATTCCAGAATTACGTTAACTTTAAATGGAATGCCAGATGTCTGTAAGGTAAGAGGCAAGTGAAGAGAGAGAGAGGAAGAGAAAGAAGCACTGAATGGAGTAGTTAGCCAACCTAGACTCACGTCGCGTGTCTGTCCCCATTTACCCTCCCCGTAGACCAGATGGCATCCAGGGCTCGATGCAGCCCAGCACTTCTTCCCTTTGTTTTGTGGCAAAATTAGAATAACTTAGTTAGCTGGTGCTGCTGGCATTTTCAGCACACAAAGTGGTGGATGCTATGCAGTCTGCTCAGAAGGTGGAGTTGATGAGCTCCATTGTTAGTGTTCTCAATTTTGTCAAATGGAACCAGGAGGAGGGAAATCCAGAATCAGGGTTTACAGTCCAGGAGTAGAAACGCGAGCAGAGGAGGGCTCGTCTGCAAGTCTGTGCTGAGCAGAAACTCCTCAAGTGTGTGGGAGTCCACACCCTAGCTGTGAGGTCCCCCAATGGCCCCAGGCAGAGAACCCCAGGCAGAGAACGGCGGGAGCCACCGTCTGATGCCAGACGGGATTGGAGCAGGAGGAGGCTGAGCCAGGACTTGCCATGTGTGTAGGAACTGTGGTTTGGTTTTGGCTAAGCCAGGACCTTCCCAACCAGCTCTAGAGGGTGTCCAGGGGCTTGGGTTCCAGGAGCAGTGTAAGGGTACCCATCCAGAGGAGGTAGCCTTGGGGACTCAAGACCCAGACCAGGCCCGGCAGCACCTTTGGGGTCCTCACTGCTAACCCAGCCTCCCTGTGTTTGCAGCCTACCCTTGGGATCGGTCGAGCCTGAAATCCCTGACCCTGGACCTGCGACAGTTTAAGAAACTGGATGCCTATGCCTCACAGGTGGGACAGCCGGCCCCTTTCCAGCAGTTCTCCCAGTCTCATCTCAAGGTGGCTTGGCGGTCCCCAACACAGGACAGCAGAGCCTTTCCCCCAGCCTCCCCTGGTAGCTTGAGTCACATGCATGGACACCCAGAAGGCTCTTTATCCAGCATGTGGGTGGTGGACAGAAGGCCCAGGGTAGCAGGCCTCTCCCTAGGCCTAAAAGCCTTTCCATTCCCCACCCACCGCCCACCACCCACCCAATGGCAAGCCCCTGTGGCCAGCCCAACACTGACTTTCCCCCCACCCGACATCCCATTTGAGCACTGCTATTGCTGTACCATGCCCAACCCAGCTCGTGGGGAAGTAGCGGTAAAGAGAGGAGGTAGAGGACCACGGGAGCCTCCACACGGAGGCAGAGCCACCACGGCCGGAACCATGCTCATCCACAGAGACTTTGAGCTCCTTGCGGGCCCAGGACAGCTGACATACCAGGGCCACGTGAGAGGCGTGGAGGCCTCTGATACGGACTGAGTCAAATCTGTAAATTGTTTGAGATAGGGCTGATCGTGGTTCGGAGCTGCTACAGGCCCCTCCCCCACATGCACGCCTGGCTGGCCCCAGGATATTCAGAAAAAACCTGCAAAAACTGGCAGCCCAAGGGTCAGAGAGCTGGCACAGCTCACCCTGTCCATCTCCCCTGGCCAGCCTTGTCCACGCAGCCGCTGTCCCCTGTCTAAAGGAAAGGCATGGCTGGCTGTAGGTGACGGGTGTGAGGCTCCCCCACAGCCCTTTCCCATCTTGATGCAGCTCACCCTCCCCGCTTCCCAGGTGATGGTCAAGAGTGGCCTGGACGAGCTGGTGTGTGACCTGCTCCAGGAGGCTGACAGTGAACTGGAAAGAGTCCGTGCCATCTGGATCTGGATCTGCCACCACATAGGTAGGCCTGTCTGTGGTGCTGCCGGCTCTAGAACCCCTCCAATGCCACCCTGCAGCCCTTGGTTGCCCCTGGCTGGCCACCAGCATGTGTGTGCCCAGGGAGTTGGAAGGTGGCAGGGAAAGGCTCTCGCATGGCTGGGTTGAGCCAAGACCAAGGGAAGCAGGTGAACTTCATTGTGTGCTCATGGCCAAGGCCAGGGCTGAGACATCAATTCCGGCATTCCAGGGAAGCTGTTTCCCAGAGTCAGGAGCCCAGGACAGGAAGTCGGTCCTTTCCATGCAAGAGGGATGACTGTGAGCCAGGAGCTGTCACAGCTGCTGAGAAGTCCAGTGACCCAAAGGGTTTCCTAACCAAGTCAAGTGCTTCCACGCCAGCCACCTCAGCCCTGGAAATAACCCAGTGTGCAGGGTTCTCGGGGCCACGGAAGGGGACTCGGGCCTGCATGGCTGACCGTGGCACTGCACAGGACAGCTGGGCATCTTGCCCAAGCCAAACCGAGCTGAGTGGAGGCTGCTGAGAAGCCAATGACCCTTGCTGACTTTTGCAAACACAGATGAGCGATGGAGGGGCCAGGCCATGGGGCGCCCTTCTCCGTCTCTGAGCTGAAGCTTAGCTGGCCCTTCCAGGCCTGATGTCCCCTCTGGCCTCTTTCCCTCCCCCTACTGCAGAGTATGACGTGGAGGCCGCCCAGGAGAAGGACCGCCAAGCCTTCAAGCCCACAGACATCCTGCGGAGCCGGAAGACCAACTGCGATGGATATGCTGGCCTCTTTGAGAGAATGTGCAGGTAGGCGGGGTGCAGGGAGAGGCTGCCCCGTCCCCCCACCTCCTACCAGAGCACAATGTACCTTAGCCACTCAATGGCCTTCCTCGGCACGGGCAGCCCCCGCTCTGGAGTCCAGCAAGTCCAAGAAGGTCACTTCCACCCTCATTAACACCAGCATGATTGTCTTGGAGCCATCTGTCAGCCGTGAAGTCATAATGGCACATAAATGCACTGAGATAATTTTGTTAGAAAAACCCTTTCTCTACTTTCTGACTCTCTATAGCTAATGGGAAAGAGAATGGCAGGCCCAGGAGCAGGAGGACAGCGGCTGCTTATGCCAAGGGCTCCAGGCTGTCCTCAGGCTGGCCCTGGGTCAGTCCCTGCTGAAGGGCTGTGTGCCAGCCAGGGCACAGCTTCTCCTGAAGGCTCAAGGGTCCACTCTCAGTGCCTGTGTGTGAGCACATGGCCTGGTGACTTCTCTGGATGGCAGCTCTGATCTGGGTGGGAGAAGGGGCCATGACTAATTATAAGAGCTGATGAGGGGAGCCCTACTGAGCCCCACAATTTTTCCCACACCCCCATCTGAAGTCTGTTGACATAAAGAGCCTGCTCCCCAGGGATGGCTGAAAGCTGCCATGCATCTGAAGGCCTCTAGGGGAAGCTCTTCTCTGGCCATGGGGACAGTTGGGCTGTATCACTGAAGGGGCTCAGGGAGTGGCCCTGCGGGAGCACAGGTGGCTGCAGGTCACCCTGCTTCTGGTGGACATGTGGTCTGCCTCTGGCTCAGGCGTCATTCTGGCCACTGCCACCCATCCTCCAGAGCTGCCCTGTCCACGCTTCCTGTGCCCACTGCTGCCTGCAAACCCAGACCAGGCAGTGCACTTCAAGCCTCTCCAACAACCTGGCTCTCCCAGCTCTGGGCTCCACAGTCTGATGCCAGCTGATGTTTTTGCAGCCTGTGAGCCCACCCACTTCCCTGGCCCTCCTGCCAGCCTCCCCCAACAGTGACCCCCACCTTTGCCTCTCTCCGTGTCCTACGCTGCCTAATGCTTTCATTTCATAACTGCTGTCAGTTTCAAAACATTGCTTGTTCGTTGTACACAAGTCATAAACACGTACAGAAGCAATGGGAGTCCCTCCAGTGGGAGCGAATACCACTTATGTGTTGCCGTGGTCCGTTCCAGCCTGAGGTGTACATCAGCACTGCTCCAGCTCAGCATTTGTTTTTTTCTTTGTTGTGATATTATACCATAGTTTACAGATCTTATCACTGGAGGAAACCGCATAAAGGATACAAGAAACTGATATTATTTTTGCATCTTCCTGTGAATCAACCATCATTCCTTTTTTCAATTTTTGATGATGTTTACATGGTTGATCAGGGTGGGAAAGATCGAGGCAGGGGAAAGTGGGTGGGATTGTTGTTTCCGAATCTTCCTTTCCTTCCTCCTGCATCTGGGGGAGAAGCTGACCCCAGTCTCCCTACTGCCCCAGTACCAGGGGATGGGGAACAGCCACCGATGTCATTCCAGGGTCCTCAAGGTGGAGCATGCTCCGAGGGTTCTGCTTAAGGGCTTATGATTGTTCTGAAATGCCCAGCCCAGTTTTTCTCCAACATCTTAAAGCCTTCTGTGTCCGCTTTCTGGCTTCTGAATAGTCACCGAATGATAGGCAGACGTGGGATGATCCTGGAAGACCTGTAGGAAGTGGCCCTGGTTCTCTTTATTGAGAGGCAGATGGAGAAGGTGAGCTCCTATCTGCTACTTCATGCCCCCAAATACCCCAAGAGGTCAGGCAGGGCCAGGCCAAGGCCGGAAGCTGGGACCACAATCCAGGGGTCTCATGCAAGCGGCAGGAATCCAGGTACGTGAGCCAAGAGCCAGAGCCAGAACCCAAGGCACTGCTTGCTGAGCTGCAATTGTCACTCTCTGTCAGAACCCTTCAGACATGACTGCTTCATCTGAACTTACAAATCGGGAACACTATGTGTTTGTCTTAAGTACGTCCTGTATCCAGCGTGTGCTTTCTCGCATCTCTAGAAGTGCCAAACTTGTAGCCAGAAAGCCCTGGCTCCCAGTCCGTCATTTGTCACGCAATGGCTTTATTCCTCACGGGAAGGCATTTGACATCCAGAGCCTCGGTTTTCTCAGCTGCACGCTGGGATGCCATAACACCTGCCTGGGAAGACAGTGGGACTTAGGAAAGCATGGGATTTGGAGTTGTAGTTTTTAACTTTTCCCATCGTTCTTGAGTTCTGGGGACTTTTTTGGTTTGCTCTGTGGAATTTCCCTTCAGACTGTGCTGGCCCACATAAACCCAGAAAATTGACATTTTCTTTGAGTGAAGTTGTCAGTTCTCGGGCCTGGTGCAGGTGCTTAACGATGGCCACATTCTGGCCTGCAGCCCGTCGTTAAATAGCGTTCCTGCTACCCATGGAGGAGACCCAGAATGAGTTCCTGGGACTCCGGATTGTGCCTGGCCCCGCCCAGGCTGGGTACTGGCTTGGGAAGTGAACAAGCAGGTGATGGTGCTCTCTGCCTCTCTTGCTCTTCATCTCTCAAACGTATTTTTAAAAACAAAAGATGAGTTTGTTTCAGTACAAAAAAATTTTGAAGCCCACACATAGGTTTTCCGGAACAGGCAGTTTCCGCAAACAGGTGCTCTTCATGACGCTGGCTTACCTCACTACAGCAGAGCAGCTTTGGATCGCTGTGCACCATGCCCTAAGCTTACAGATTGGTTTACAAGAGGGCGGTGCTGCACAGGGCTCCCGGTCGATCGGCTTCAGCACACCTGTGTCCTCTTGCTGTGGGGTGCAAGGCAAGGCAACCTCGCTCCCCACACTTCTGAATGTTAGTGACTCCACGTGTCGGCTTCCGAGTGAGAGCTGGCGATTACGAGTTACCTCCGTTGCCATACAGGTGGTGTGAGAGAGGGAGAGGGGAACACTTCACAAGAAATCACGAGCGCGCCTTGTGGGAGATACAGCACAGTTTGTCCTGCTGCAGTTTTAAAAGTACATTTTCAACAATGTGTGTTTTCCTGCTTCTCTTCCATCTTGGCTTCCCCATCCCTGCCCTCTTCTCTCCCCACTTAGCTCAGATTTCCCAGGAACGGTGATCAAGTTGAGAAAGCACACACTAGCTGGCCTGCACCTGTTCCAGGTGCACCTGCCTGGCCAGCATTTCAGCCACTTGCCTGCCTGGGGCTGTGGAATCACCACACGGCTCCTGCGACGGGGCCTGAACTGCCTCGGCGTAACGCGGCAATTGCAATCTTGACCTGCTTCCCACCTATTAACAATAACAGCAGCCCAGACTAGATCTCCCTGAAGCACTAGGACAGTAAGTCAGGTTCTGCCACCCATGTGAGAGACACAGATTGCATTGCTAGCTCCTGGCTTTGGCTCGGTCCAAGCTCGGCTGCTTCTGGCATTTGAGAGGTAGATTAAAGGGGAGCTTTTTTCTTAAGTTCACGGAAATGTGTACTGCTTAAAAAAATAGGTTGGTATGGAATTCAAAGTTTTTGCACCAATATAAACTTGTATTTTAATTCTACTTTTCTATGCACTTGTGAATGCCCTTGTACATATGTGAGAGTGTGTGAGGCAGGAGGACTAGTGGGCAGTAGGCAGGTCTGGGGCATGGCATCACAGACACACAGGTTGGGCTTGGTGGGCAGAACTGCTCAGGTTCCTGTCACACCCTTCAGGATCGCAGGCGTGCAGTGCTTGACTGTACCCGGCTACTCCAAGGGCTTCGGCTACCGGACTGGGCAGAGCTTCTCCGGGGAGTTTGATCACGCCTGGAATGCTGTGTACCTGGAGGGCAGATGGCACCTGCTGGACAGCACCTGGGGCAGCGGCCTAGTGGACACTACCACCTCCAAGTTTACTTTCCTGTAAGTGTGCGTTGCGGTTCTGCTGGGCATCAGGGTGGAGCCAAGGGATTCAGCTGGTGGGAGGGAAGATGGGCCAGCCTGGCCTGCCTCTGCTGCTGGCCACACCGGCTCTGCCATGAGCTCCTGGCCACTCGCAAGGGCCTTGGCCTCTGGCTCCCTCTCCCCCTCCACTGACAGAATCCTTCCTCCAGCTTCCTCTCACTCCCTCCACCAAAGCACTAGATACTTTCAACCCTGCCCATGGGCCACAGGTGAAGGGAGGCAGGACAGAGGTGGCCAGAGCCCAAGGCCATGGGCAGACCCATGGGAGTTGCCCCAGCGTGTTGCTTTAATGCCCTAGGCCCCCTTCAGGCTGTGGCCAGTAGACTGTCCCACTAGGCGAGGAGGCCTGCACTTCCTCCTGCTGCTTCCCCCAAGGCCCCGACTCCCTCCCTGTGGTCTGGGGAAGGTGAACCACCACCGTGGGTGAAGGCGGTGAAGGTGCAGGTGAGCACCTGTGTGTCCAGGGCTCCCCCAGTCCTGGCCCCACCTAGCACTGCGCACAGCAGTCCTAGTGGCCAGGAAAGCTGGCCAGCTGCTCTGATGCCTTTGTATCTGACCGCTGAGATGTTGCAGCTGGCATCTGGTGCAAGCACAAGCCACATGTACACATGCCTCCTACCCCAAGACCCATGTGTGCACAGGCACCCTCTTCCCTGGGCCTCACCTGCCTCAAAACATCAGCTTTCTCTTGGCCCCAGAGAGCCTCCTTGAGGTCAGGCCCTTGAGGGGCCCCAGCAGCCCCTCTCAACCACTGCACAGAAGTGGGAGTGGAGAGGTTATGAATTATAGCACTTTATCTCCCCACCTGCATAACTCCACTGCTGGACACTTGGCTCCCAGGGGAGCAGGCACTGCCTATTCCCGTAGGACACCCAAGCTCAGAGCAGGACACTGCCCAGAGCTATAAGAGTCCTAAGACACTACTGGGGGCACTCCAGTCTGCTCACATCTCTGAGTTGGCAGGACCCCTCCTGTAGGATAGTCAGCCCAAGAGAGTCCCCAAAATGCCCCCTGGAAGCCCTGTCACTCCCCCCCACACACACACACACATCCTGCAGAGCTAGGTGAGGGACTTGAGGCCCATGTGCCCTGTGGCAGCTGACCAGCCCTGTCCTCCATTCTAGGTACAATGAGTTCTACTTCCTCACCCATCCTGCTCTGTTCATTGAGGACCACTTTCCGGACAACAAGAACTGGCAGCTGCTGAAGCCACCTCAGTCCCTGAGACAGTTTGAGAACAACATGTACCATAAGAGCGAGTTCTATAACAAGGGCATGCTGAGTGCACACCCCGACACGGCTGTGGTCAGAACAGGTAACCCAGGGCAGCGGGTGCTGGCACAAGGAGGGCACGGCCATGGGTCATGCTGGCAGGCAGAAGCCCATCACACTGGCATCCACCAGAAGGGGGCTGTGTCGGGAACTGCAGGAGCGTCTGGAGCATGTGTAGCCTGGCCTCTCACTGGAGCCCAGCAGGCGGGTCCCTTGCCCTCCCTCTGCGGCCTGGACACAACTGCTCAGCTCAGGTGCACCCCTTCCCTGGCAGTGATGGCCTGCTGTGTTCTCCCAGACTCCCGGTGGGAAGAACGTGGGTCCTACAGACCCAGGGTGTCATCAGCAAAACAGGTCTCTGGCACAGGTTGCAGCGGGCAGTGTGTAAGTAGCCAGACCAACATGTTCTGAGTAGCAGAGGAGAGGCGGGCGGAGTGCAAGCCCCTCACTGCTACACTCGGACTACCTGGAGGAGGGCCGCTCAGGGGCCTCTGGGACAGGAGGCAGTGTGTGCCCGTCGGCAGGCACTTGGGCCAGGCTCACTGTCTCCCATAACTGGCCTGCAATTTGCTCCTACTCGCTAGCTGGGTGCTCGTGTGCACCCTGAGGCAGCTGGGCTCCGGTGCTGCAGCTGGAGGGAGGCAGGGCGAGTGCCCTCTCACAGCATGCCTCTAGCAGCCTCAGCTCCCGGCCCAGGGCTGGGCCTGCTGCAGTCTGGGAACATTACAGGGCTCAGAAAGGTGGGCTCCACCCCACACACACACCTCAGCAGAGGACTGCCTCTCAGCCCCAGTCCTGCCCCAGGAAGCCCTAGTGTGGACAGGCAACCTGAGCTCTAAGGGGCAGGGAACACAGGGCCTGGAGCTGGCCCAACCTTCAACCCTGCCAGCCATTCACAGCGCTCCTAGCTCGTATTTATTGATTTGTTTGTTTATTTGAAGAGCAAAATAACAGAGAGAGAGGCAGAAAGATCCCAGAGCCAGGAGCTACAATTAAGTTGTCCCATGTAGCTGCAGGAACCACAACACTCGGGCCATCTTTCCCAGGCGCATTTGCAGGGAGCTGGATCAGAAGCAGGGTAACTGGGACTCAAAGCAGTGCCTCGACCTAGGGTGTATGCATTCCAAGCAGTGGAGGTGGGGGGAGGATACGGAGAAGGCATGGGGAGGAGGGACACTGGCTAAGCCACCATCTCTGTCATCCCCTGGCCTGGGTGGGGGTCCTGTCATTTAGAGTTAGCACTAGGCATGGAATAGAGTCAGGTGCTTCATGCAGATTGGATGGACAGCTCCAGGGTGCTCATCCTCAACAAGAGCTTTGAGGCTAGGGTGGACCCAGGTGCTCCATCATCTCCTTCCCTGGCTCCCATCCATGGTGTGGACTAGAAGGCTGCTCGGGTAGGGTTAGGTGACACCTGGGATAGGACCAGGTTCTCAGAGCTGCCACTTCAGAGAGACTGAGTCAGAGAGGCCTTGGGGACTGCAAAGACCAGAGAACCAATCCCTTGTCCTTCAAAAACACAAAGGCCTGGCCAGAAGATAAAATGGCAAGACTGGGGGAGAGGCAGAGGAGAGAGATGAGAAAGACCTTCCAACGCACAAACCCAAGGAAGAAACATAGAACTACATGGGGGTGTGGGGACCAAGGGGAATCGCCCCACGCCTAGGGCCCTCAGGAACAAAGCTGTGTCAACCAGCTTTTAGAGCACCATAGCAACGGATGCTGGAGTGGCAGTGTCAAAGCAAGACCCAAGACTTGGAGGAAGGTGTCCTTCATACCCTTTGACCTCCTCCCTCCTTGGGGGGCTCAGGTCAAATCTCCAGGCAAGCCTTCATCTAACATGGGTGGGCAGATTTTGCACACTGACTAGTGTGTCCGCCCAAGCTGGCCCCTTCTCACCTGACTCTGACTTTCCATCCACAGTGAATGGGAAGGCCACGGTCACCATCGAGAGCTGTGCCCCAAAGCTGTTTATGTTCATGCTCAATGGGAAGCAGGAGCATGGGCTGCTGAGCTTGCGCAAGAACGGGATGAAGCTGGAGGTGTTCCCGCCAACCACAGGCAGCCACAAGCTGCAGATCTTTGCCAAGGGCGACTCGGACATCTACAGCTCTGTGCTGGAGTACACACTGCAGTGCTCCCATGTGGACCCGGGAGTCCGACTGCCTGCCGAGCTGCACCAGCCCGTGGGCCCCAGCTGGTTCTCGGAGCAGATGGGCATCACGAAGCCCTCGCACCCTGATCCCATCATCCACACCCGTGACGGCCGCTGCTCCGTCAGCTTCGGCGTGGACGAGGGCATCAGTGTGCTGGCTTCGCTGCACGGGGATGACGGCCCCATCACCGAGGAGACCCAGCGGCGCTATGTCTTCCAGCTGCCCCGGGAGAAGCGGATCGAGCTGAAGGTCCAGCTGCCCCATGCTGGCAAGTTTGCCCTCAAGATCTTTGTCAAAAAGAGGCAGGAGACAGGCAACTACGTCTTTGTCTTCAACTACCTCCTCTGCTGCACCAACACCAAAGTGAACTGGCCCATGTTCCCCGAGAGCTTCGGCAACTGGGGGCCGGAAAATGAGCTGCTGGAGCCGCTGTCGGGGGTGCTCCCTGCCAACCGCAACGTCCCCTTCAAACTAAAGCTCCACGGCGTGGCCAAGGCATTGGTGAAGGGGCAGGACACGTGGCCGCTGACCCTGAGCCACGAGGGCTACTGGGAGGGCAGCTGCAACACGGCCGGCTGCCAGGAGGTCTACGTCATGGTGCTGGAGAATGCCAACCACAGCTTCTACTCCTACATCCTCAAGTATAAAGTGAACGCCCAGTGAGGGCCGCCACGCCCACCCTGGGTTGGAGAGCCGGGGACAAGGCCAGTCCTAGGGGAGGTCCCGGCCTGCACCCCCCTCAATGTGCATGGAGTCACTGAGATGTCTATGTTCTCCAGGCTGCACTCGGCTGTGGCCATGGCTCATGGGACAGAGGCAAAGGCCCGTCGAGAAAAAGGTGCTATGTAAATCTACATATTGTAAACTGTCATCCCAAGTGCCAGCCGCCTGCCTTCCCTGGAGCCCTCCTGCTGCCCCAGCCGCTGTGGCCCCAAGGCTGATGCTGGGATGCCCCCTTTATGATGTTAGGGCATTCCCAGCCATGCCCCAAGAGGGTCGCTGCAGCTCACAAAGCTGACACCATCCTGGAATCGTAGCTCTTCCTTCAGGTATTGCAGCTGCATTGCTTGACCGCTCCCTGAGCCCCAAGACCTGCCAGAACTGGCCACTCTCTCCATGCCTGCCACCCTCACCCCATTTCCATGGCTACTTCTTGCTTTTCAAGAACCTTAGAGTCCAGGACCCCAAGGAGATTCCACAGCCAAAGGCCCACTGGGTGTCCTAGGCAGGGGCACAGGGAAAGTGGAGGATGCCACTGGCAGTCCTGCAAGCCACATCCAAGCCTTCATCCAACACAGCCTGTCCAGCCAGGGGCAGAGGCCTGCCAGGCTGGTGAGAGCTTGGCTGAGCACAGGTGATGCCATGGCACGAGCTGCCTTGCGGGCGCTGCAGCCCCCTGGAGGTCCAGGCCGGGTCCTCACCTGTCCCCTACACCCGTCCCGGCCGGTGCCCTTACTCTTCTCCAGGTAGACACATCTCACAGAGGTCCCACCTTCCACAGCGACAGCTTGAGGCCCCTGGCTTGCCAGGACCTGCGCTGAGAAGCCTGGCGACCCCACTGAACCCTGGGTAGTGAGTGCCTCAGATTGATGTCACCATGGCAACAGAGGCCCAGAATGGCAAGACTGGAAGACCCAGAGTGTCTACAGAGCTGCCCTGCACACCAGCACCCCTGCTTGTCCCCAACATCTCTCAGGGCTGACACTCTCCCTGCCCCAGGTGCCATGGCTGTCCATCCTCTGCCCAGCTCTCTGTGGCCGGCTCTGCCACCACCCAGCACCCTGGTCCCTCTCACCAGGAAAATGGCATGCAGCCCTGCAGACCTGACGGCCCCAGGAAGGAATGTCTCATGCCTTGGATTTGATGCGCTGGGACTTGTCGCAATAGCGGCCCCTGTCACTCCCTGGGCCTAGAGCATCTTTCTAAAACATGAATCTAGTGAATTACAAGGCCATGGAGCGCACAGAGGAAGCCGCCCGGCCACACTGGAGCTATCTTCAGCACCAAGAAGGGAAGCTGCAGCCTCAAGGCCCTTCAGGGCATCCACGGCCCCTCCTGCCTCTAACCAGGCACCCCCAGTGTCAAGACGGCAGTGGATGAGGTCAAAATAGCACCTGCCTTTCTTCCCACTGAAGCAGAAATACATGAGACCCGGTCTGCGTGAGTTTCCATACGCACAGATGGAAATTCGGGATTGCACTGTCAAGGTTCCCCTTCCAAGCCCCGTCTTTGTTTGCAGGCACAGGTGGAAGGGCGCGGGCGACCCCGGGTGGCCAAGGTGTGAGCTCATCCGGAAGGCGGGCTTCACTAGGGTCCTCCAGCACACACCCTCCTCACACTCCCACCCCGCCCCAGCTTGCTCATGCAAAACAGAAAAGACGCTGTTGAGGTATTTGTGTTTAAAATCACTGGGTGCTCTGTCTCCCACCGCTTCCTCGCGGGTACCCGGGGTATATCTTTGCCACGTACAAGCTGCGCGGGGACTCTGAGGGGCGTGCGTGGAGAAGACACGCAAGAAGGCAAGGAGGAATGTTTTGCTCAGAAATCCCTTCTTGCAATGGAATGCCCAGAGGGCTGAGCTGGGCATCTGTGACCACGCGCGTCACCGTGCCCAGAAAAACATCGGAATTACTCCAACTCAGGGGGCATTTGTCAGCCGGATGGCATCCCCTCCCCCACCCCCGCGGCCCTAGAGCCAAAGGCTGGGGGGCTGGGCAAAAGGAGGTGGCGGCGCAGCAAGCCCCCACCCCCCCCCCCCCCCCCCCCCCCGTGGTGAACTCCTTTTCTACGTGCTGATAGCACAGCCGGACGCTTTCCTGCCTGACTGCACTCACTGCGCCCCCACGCCCCAGTAGGTTCCCCAATCCCATAAGGACAAGCCGCGCCCCGCCTGTGAGATTCCAGGGAAGTGAACGAAAGGATTGAGCCCAGCCAAAAGGAAAGATCTCCAGGCAGTTTGTGAAATCCTCTAAAGACTTGAGAAGCAGGCTGGCAGAGCTTCCGAAGGTGGGCTTCTGCGAGGTTAGAGGTGGCACCACGTTACCCGCAGCCTCTCTGTTCTTTTCCTTTGGGCAGTCGCTGGAAATCTCGGGGAGGCGCCGGCTTCTCTCCTGTGCCTTGAGTTGTGTGCGCAGGTAGCTGCGTGGTCTGCCTCCCACACACTGTTGTTGGCGTTGTTTTTCAATAAAATTTATATTCATTTTTATCCAACAACGTGATTATTGATCCATTCTTATCACTGCTCTCACAAGGGTGAAAAAGGGGGGGAAAAAAGCACTTTCATGTTCAAAGGGCGCCCTGGAAATCAATGTCCCAGGCATCTGAACAGGATGGTGGAACGCAGGACTGTCAGGCAGACTTAGCTATGTCCCATTAAAACAAACGTGATTAGGCTAGTGCCAGCCCCTCCCCAGTCACACACCTTTGAAGAACACATTGAGTCTTGTTTAACTTGATATTTTTTAAAGTCAACTCAAATGACTTTTTATCTTGGGTGGAGAGAGGAAGAAAGATTCCCCGATCTGCCCATCAGACTGCCCTGTGTGTGTTGTGGATCTGCGCAAATCAGTATGGCTGGGTGTTATTCTGGGTGCAGAAACTTTACAACCGGTTACCAAAACTGGGTGGATTGGAGAGTTAAGGAAATAGAAAAAGAAAAGTGGACGCCTCTGAGAAGCTGCTGTAACCATGGTGACCATTCTCCTGGCTGTCCAGTCAAGGACAAAGAACCTGGTGTTCCCATCTGACCGCTCCACAGCGTGCTGTCCCCGAGGCAGGTGGCCAGGTGCACCGAGGAGGGGGTAGTGGGAGGGGGTGGCCTCCCACACCATCAACTGGGGGAATCGCGAGTGGTCGGAACAGGTGCATGCTCGGAGCCCCAGGTGGGCAGGGCTGACCCACAGCAGCCCTTTCAGCTGGGAGGGAGGTGGGTGAGGGTCCTGCTGCATTAAGAGCCTGCACCACTCAGGCCCCTGCCTGAGGCCAGGCGGCTGCTGGCATCTCAGAGAGGAACCAGAGAGGCAAGATGGACCTGCTGGTTCACGCTGACTGCTGAGCAGAACTAAGGAAAACAAAAACAAAAACCTACATGCCAGCAGGGTCTCTGCCCGGGCGTTCCACGGACAGCTGAAGTCACTCTTCACCCAGGTTCCCTCTGACTCCCTACTGTCCCCTCCAAGGGGCCCTGACCCACCTTCCTCCCCACCCCCAACAGCCAAGGCCACCCTGTGGTGGTCCCCCATGACTCCTTCAGCCCCCTCCATGGTAGAGTCTAGACCCTTCTGCTACAGACTTGCTACAGACCTGGCCTTGCCACCCCAGATCACCCCACTCATTGCCAACACCTCAGCAACCCAACCCTGCCTGCCATAGCAACGTGCACAGCGACCTCCAGCCGGGTCCCCTGAAAGTCTTCCTGAAGGGGTCTGACACTCTCAGAGGCAGGAGGGCTACTGGGGAAACTGTTTCCTACCAGATATATGTATAACACGTCATCTATGGATCACATAAAATAATCAAGCAAAATATGAGCATGCTTGGGGCTGACATGATGGCACCATGGGACAAGCCAGCGCCTACCAGGACACATCCCCTGTCAGAGCCCTGGCTGCTCCACTTCCCATCCAGCTCCCATGTTGGGCTACGCTGTTTTATATCATGGATACATCATATTTTTATCCATTCCATCAGCTGAAGGTCATTTAAATTGCTTCTTAGTTTTGGCTGTCATGAACAGTGCTTTTATGGACATTCAAATAATGTCTTTACAGCAACACTCATATACAGATATGTGTCTATTGTTATAATATGGGTATCTAGGAGTGGAACTGTCACACTGAATACAGAACCAGCTCTTGTCTCTTATGGTAAGAAAATAAGCAACCCAATTAAAAACTGCACAGAAGTTTTGCATACATAACTGCATTTCAAAACATTTAGGAAAAATAGAATTGAATGATAAATTTACTTTGATGCAAAAAATTGAAATTCATGCCTATTTAGAGAGCTTCCAAAGATTCATGGAAAATACATATTACAAAACTGTGCACTGATTTCAAATTTTTTACATCACTATAAGAAGCTTTTAATTCCATCTTTCTCAAACTTTTTGAAGTCCCCCCGCACATTTCAACCAAAGAAAATGTAACACATGAACAGCTAATAGGCACGTGCAAAGATGCTTGGTCCCTTTACTTGCAAGAAAACCCAAACCACCACCACAAGGAATGACCGCCACAGCCACCAGAACAGCCCCAGTCCCACAACGGCGAAGGTGGGGTTAAGCTGGAACCCTCAAGTGTTGCGGGTGGGAATTTTAAAATGGTTTAGCCACTTTGGAAAGCAGCTTGGTATTTTTAAAAGTTAAACATAAACCAGCAATTCCACACATCATTCCAGGAAAAGTGCAAAAATCAAATCTGTGTGAACCGAATCTACCCACAGGACTTATAAGTAGCTCTGCCAGGTGCTCGTTTGCTGTTTGCAAATCTTATATATAGTGTTGCCATAGATACCCCTTACAATGCGGGGCAGCACGCCTGGTGTGCTCTCGCACGGGTGTGCGCGGTTGTGAAGTGTGACTCCCCCCACCAGGATCGCAGCTGTTGCTAGACAAGAGAAAGGGTGTGGAATTGGAAAAGGCCACAGCAAAGCTGCTGGGCCTC